AGCCCTATAGGCCACGTGCCATTTTTTGTGCCTGGTCCTTTTATGCTCCAATTCATCTACAATCACAACTTTCCATCACAACAATTCAGAAACTGTAATCCCTGAACAAGATCAATTCATCCCCGCACGGCCATAAGCCATTTCCTTAGCATCTTCAGTTGATAGTTGTCCAATGACTTTCCTCGCCTATATAGCCATCATCGTTTCAAATATATCTACTTAACATTATCTATTCTAATTTTATCCTAAATTTTTCGTACGATTTAATTTCTGCGTCGAACACAATTTAAAAGTAACCACTATAAAAATTCCTCAACGTAATAATTCGTCATGCAGCACGTACGCATACAGTGGTGAAGAGATCATTACAGCGTTTTGAGTTGATAATTAAAGAGCTCTCACACACTGCACCATGCATGTGAATGTCCAATTCATTTCAGCTTAAAACTTAAAAAGTAGGGCATGTGATATGTCTCCTCCATCCCCCACACTTTTTAATTCGCCAATCGGAGATAAGAAGTTGACATAAATAGACGTCAATAACGAAGCAAGTACAATTCTGATTTGACTTGTGGAGCCATTAATATCAATGTCTGCAACAGACATTTTAAGGGATTGTTTGGCATTTGGAATCCTTTTCTTTCAAATTATCAAAGAAAAATTAAAGCATCTTTTATTATTATCATTTTTAATTAAAACCCATATCCAATTTTCCACATTTTCTTTTCTTTTCTTTTGGATTGGTGTTGGAATTTCGATTATACGTTAGCTTTCATTTTCGTATCAGATGACAAAGTTTCGTATTCAACATGTGTTAGTGTGTATTAGGCTCCTATTTTTTATGGCCATTATTTAGAGAAAATGGAGTTTTGAACGATGATTTTTTGAATAATGTGCAGTTAAAAGTAGGAAAAATTCCGTGTTTACGTACAAAATATTTTATTGTATAAATGTGATTGAAAACGAGTATAAAAATTAAATAATTTTGAAATAATTGTTGTAAAATAAAGGCTAAATTTTGAAATAGTAAATTCTAGTTAGACGGAAGACAAGGAGTCAAAAGTGTCGCCTTTTGTCTAATAAATCCATTCTTTCTAGAAGTTGAACAATGCTGCATGCGATTCGTGATAGCAACAATATCAAATAGACCATCATGCTCATGTATTAGCAAGACACTTTATCGGCCTCTACAATATCGCAACTTCATACATACATAGGTGCCAGTAATATTCTTGGCATTTACCATCATCTTTTGTTCAACTCTAACCACCCAATGGAATATAATGTTAGTTACTACTTTCACGGTTACGATTTATGTGCGAGTTAATTCAATTTAGGTTGTCGAATAAAATTGGATTGACGTTTAATTTTTGGCAATAATTTAAAGTTCAATCTATAAATTGATTATAAATTTTGATACCTAAATACCAAACAGCACATTTGAGGTGACGTCGCATAGGAGCAGTTTGATGGTCCCTGGTCTAGTTGGGTTCACACAATAACAAAGTGCAAATCATATTCCACCAAATACACAGAATAATCTACCACACAATTCTAAGTTGGAGCAGCTGAATATGCTTCATTTTTTTATTTTGCTAACCCTTTGATTGGATGTTGTCGGGCACACACCTCTCTCGTCCACTAATTAACATACCAGCAACATTATAATTCTTAACAATAATATAATTTATCAATGCGGGAATTTGTAATTATCATGATTATCAAACTTTTGATTAAAAAAAATCATAAAAATATTCGATTAATTTTTTCTAACTTTTGGATCCTCAACCTTGTATTACATGCCTTGTGTGATTTCTTTTCTAATGAATATTTTTGTCACAACTATTTTGCTTTAGAAGTTGTTAAAAATTGAAAAAAAAAAATACTAAATGAAATATGTATAAAAGTCAACCTGAAGTAATTCAAATTTTTATATATTTATTAATATTTTAATATTTAAGCGATGTGGGATTTATACCTTTAAAAAGTCTATAGGTGCAGGAAAATGCACAGCAAGACAGATTGGGAGCTGCCAAAAACTGTTTTTGGTAGCTGCCAATCACAAGAAGATAGCTGTGAATTTTTCTATTGAATTTTCTGTACCATAGCATATCTCTTAAAATAATGCTATTCATCTTCACTGGAGTTGGGTCTCAATTTATGTAGCAATTACATAACATTAAATGATAGATTCATTTAAATACAAAGTCACATGACTCATTTAATTGAGTCTATCATTTAATATCATATAATTACCATATAAGTTGGGGTTCAATCCCAATGGGTATGAATAACATTATTCTATCTCTTATACATAATAGATAGATGATAGGCCGTGAGTATGGGGGTTGCAATTCCCCCCACCCCCCTTCTTTTCTTCTTCCTTTAAATTGATTCTTTACTTATTCTCCTTTGTGACTGTTTTTGGAAGGGAATTGATGTGTGTTGATGAAAATAGTTCTCAAAAATGCAATGCATGTGATTCTTTTATGGAAAAATGACAGTACATTCAATGAAGACTGACTTGTACTAAAGATGGAAAGTTAGAAATTCAAAGGCTCAAAAAAGTTGATTGAGAACTTATACTTAAGTGCTTTATTTGAAAGTTATTCATAATCAACTATTGTAATAGTTATCATAACATTATTAAAAATTATCACTTTAAAAAATTATTATAATTATGTCACATATGATGAGTGCTACAGTCGATGACTATAAATAATATTATTGTTTCTGAAAAAGTTTGTAAACATTGATGCAAGAAACCATTGCTCATATATGCACTTGAGTTAATGCCAATAGGTCATCCATTGGTAACAGTACATCGACAATAGATTTCAAGTCTTACGTCGAAGATCATAATTTTTATAGCCAAATGGTCATAATAGTCCACCCGAGTCAAAGCAATCTCACTATCACACTCAACCTAGAAAATAGATGCACCATTGAACTCCAATCCCAAAACAATATCGGTTGAATACCTCATGTCTAAATTTGCCTATTAAACCACTTCAAAGCATTGATAATTATCCTCTATGGAAAATCTAAGCAAAGTGAGATTACTGGATAAAGAGCGCAACATATGCCACAAATCATACTTGTACAACATGTTTGATTATAACCAACGTTCTAAAATGTGTAATGCGTAACAATGCATTTTGATCGAGTATCAAGTAATACAAAAATATGCATGCCTATGCGAAACATATGCGTTATTATACGTTTTCAATTTTTAATATTTATTTTAAATATTCAGAACTAATAAATAAATAAAATAATGCATTCTTTAAATTTTATACATATTCTTCAATTTTTTTTAAAAAAAAAATATTGTAATATTGCTTAAAATTATAAAAAATAAATACTACAATTACTTAAACTTTATATATATTCTTCAAATTTTTAACAAAAACATAATACTTAAAATCATAAATACTACAATTACTTGATAATAAATTTCTACAATTAGATTAGACACAAATATCGATTTAAAAATTCTAAATATTGTCTAACACTTTATTGGATTCCAATTTAAACTCCTCTTCATCAAAGTCATATTCCATGCCATCCCATATAAAATCATCTTCATCTGGCTCTCTTAATTCAATTTGACAATTTCTATTACCTCTTGTAAATGGTATGATATTATTATCGAGTCCTCCACATCATCACAATCATCAACAATCCAAGACTATTCATCAGTGGTGTCACTTGCTAGTAAAACTAGAGAAATATCGAAGAAGAAGGAGGTTCAAACTCGGCGTAGATAGTTTGAAACTCTAAGAAAAATTAGTTTTGATTTTTATATTTTTGAACGTCAAAATCCTTTAAATTGTTGTATATAATTCATGTGCTTGGATGATTTGGGTAAATTTGATATTTATTGGGCTCAATTTTTATTAGACTAAATTTGACATAATTTTTAATACAAACGCGTGCGGATAATTTTGGTGCATAAGCGTTCATATGCAATCAACGAAATGAGTTAACAGCATTATCGCGCACATATCAAATATACGAGGTGTTTCGAAAATGCATCGAGTATTTACGCGCATTTTATAACACTGATTATAACAGTTAAAGGTAAACTTATTTTAACTATTTATGCCATCAAACTTAATCTTTAAAATAATGCTCACTCAATCATGTTGACTGCATGTACAATTTTTAAAAAGTTGGATTTACGTACAAAATATTTTGTTGTAAAAATGTGATTAAAAATTAGTTTGAGAAAAGAAAATTTGTTTTAATGATTGTCGGGGCTTAATTTATATGACTTTCAAGTTCTAGATCTAAACCAAAAACTCATGCTAGTATTATATATACACCAAATTGTCAATCATAAATAGTAATGGTTGGTATGAAGTTCTATTATTTTAATTATTTTTCTTCTATATAGAAACTTCAACGCTCTAATTCATACCAAATATTAATAAATACATAGAAACCTCAGAGTTGCTTCCGATAATAAATTGGGTTTTGCTACAGTTATACGCCCGTGTACTAGACTCCACGCCCCCACTCACAATAGGGGGTCCGGCCCATTATTTTATTCACCTCGGGCCCCCCTCATTGTGAGGGGGGCGGTCGGGTGGTGTACCCAGGCGTGTAAACGTCTGGGTACAAATGCCTTTGCCCTAATAAATTACACTCTTATCGAGCTAGAGAACATGAAAAGTACAATTAATTTATTTACACGCCCAGGTACAAATGGCTTTGCCTAATAAATTCCGCTCTTATTGAGCCAGAGAACATGTAAAGTACAATTAATTTATTATGGTCCACGTGAATATTCTTGTTAAAAACTAATAATTCAAATAATAGTATTAGTTCTAACTTTGAGTCAAAACCAATGAAAGAAATACTAGAGTTACATGCAACGAAATACTCAAAACAAGAGGTCATATTCAAGATTCCAAGAAATACGCATAAACAATCGACAATTGTCCAAGCTTCAAACAAAGAGAAAACCCAAATAAAATTGAACTCGAAATCCTTCCTTACTGACCATAGTTTTTGTTCTGAAGCATGGAGTTTTTGCAATGCGCAATTGCACCTTGAATTGCACTCTGCAACTCCACCATGGAAGAATTATTTGCATACGTGCTTGTAGTGGTAGCACTCGTAGGCGTGTTTCTACGAAGAATTCCTGAATGATTTGGTGATGATCTGATTGAAGATGGGCAGCTTGAGATGCAACTCCTCCTCCTCGTGTGCCTTGTATTCCCTGAAAAAGAATTTGATATAGTTGCATTATGATCATCCTTCGACTTATTTTGATGAGCAGAAATTGGATCCCTTTCTTTGGTTGATCCATCTTTTTTCATGCACAAAGTGGGATTTGTTGAGCTAGCCATCCTTGTTGCAGCTGTTGATGATAATGATGATGAAGGTACCTTTACTTGCTGCTTTTGGGAAATCTTTTCGTACAAAGGTTTCACCTTTTTCAAATACTTGCTTATGACTTCTTTAGCGCTTTTACTCGTACCCTTTTGTGACGAGGTTGAGGACGATGATATATTCTTTGGTTCCTTCCGGAACACTGAAGAGAGTTTTGATAATGAAAACTTCGATGGTTTCTTGATAGGGTTTTTATCAAGGGAGCTCACATTATTGTTAATGCATTTGAAATTTAAATCCTCTAGGGCATCCTCAGTGACAGAGCTAGGCCGAGAGGATTCAGGATGGAGCTGGCTGAATTCACTAGAGAAGGAGGAGTGAGAGTCATTAGATGAGCCGGTGGAGTCACGAGAGGCAGTGGTGGTGGTATCGGAGGAGGACGAGGAGGAGGCGAGGAGGAGAGTACGGACCATTGAAAGGCGGGGCGAGAGGTGGAGGGGAAGAATTTGGCCCTTGTAGAAGAGTTCATCCGCCGGGCAGAGGGCGGCCGAGGATTTACGAGGCGAAAGAGAGATTGTGAACTCGAAGTCGGAGGAGGAAGAGGAGAAGGAATGAGTTGGAGATGAGGGATGAGTGTTAAATTTTGGGAGGTGATGGTGTTTGTCTCTTCTCCTCCCCATATTCATCTTAAGTGTCAACTACATAATTCAGATATTGAGAGTTATAGAGATTCAAATATTTATATAATAATATCATAATATGGAGCAAATAATTATTTATTTTAATTCTAAACACAATATGCATTGAGAGCACGTAGGAAGTACATTGAAGCACAAATGAAATTGACAGTTCATAACACACATATTTTAATTATTATTTAAAATATTTTAATAGTGAAAATAGAGATAAAAGATGGCCACATATTTCTTAACAAAATCTCATTGACTGACTTACTAAACACTCTTTGTAATCTAATCAGTTGGACTAATCAGAATGAGTAAAGTTATTCATCCACAATTGGGTTACAAATGCAGTTTAGGTGACTTTAAATGATAGGTTAAATGAAATGTGAAATTAAATAACTTATTCAATTTCACCTATCATTTAATACCACATTAACGCCACCTAAACTGTATTTGTAACCCCAGTGGGGATAAATAACATTAATCAATCAGAACAGAGGGAGTAAATTTCGTATGTGATCATTGATCTTTCAATGAACTCTCAATTGAATCACCAAACTTCAATTTAGTTTCAAACTTCGCCACATTATCACCTTCCGTCACCTATCATCACAATAACTAACAATTAATTATGACAATCATATTGTTCTACATAATTTCTATGTGACACTATCAAAAAATTATAAAATGGGTGTTATAACAATGTCTTTATGTTATAAGGTCGAAATATGAGGATTTTTTTTTTTTATATTTTTATGACGCAACATCGTAATAAGTTGACATATCCCACAATGATTACATAAAAGATTTGTTTTACTATAATTTCAATTAAATAATTTTCATCAAAGCAATAAAATTTGAGATACGGCATGTGACAAAGGAATAAAATTTGAAACCATAATTAAAATTGACCGACCCAATTGAAACTAAATCGAAATTTAGTTATTCGAATAAACAACCACATTGCCCGAATCAAGGTTGTCAAAGTTCTCTAACTTTTGGTCAATTCCCTAAATTAAAGAACAAGTTTTTCTTTTTTCTTTTTTATTTTTAATTCTATATGTTAATAATTGAAGTTAAATTAATTGTTTTACTATGTAGAGTTGGTTGATGCTATGGGGTCAGTCACATGGGTATCTTTGTGGTCACAGATGTTTAGGCGTGGAGGTGGGGGTGGACCATATGATTTGGATTGGACCATATTGATACCAAATTTACACTGGGCTAATGATCCACATCAATTAAAGTCACAATTACTATATATTATTCCTTAAACTTCTTTAACTGACTTATATACAGCTTGTTTAAACTCAAAAGTATGTGTATCTTGATGGTGGTAACAGTACACTAGCAAAAGCTCATTGCTTTATGCACTTGACAATTGTAGTTTCACTTTGTAATATTAATTTTATATGGTTGTTTTATAGACCTAGATCCACCTCATTTACTTTTTAATTGCATTAGGGATTTAGTCACAGATCATGTTACTTAAATATTTCCATATAGTTAGAAAAGTTAAGAACAAATAGAAGTTTATTACAATTACTTGTAACATCTTTTTCAATTAGATATAACTTCGACTATTTAGAAAAAAACGTAAAATTGCACACTGAAGGGTAGACATACATCTCTATTTAAAAGAGTAATTGATAAATTTGTGGACACTCCTCTAAGGAAACCTAGGGTACGACTGTTAGATCATTTCCTTAGAGCCATGAGTTGGTTGGATAGCGAGGAAAACCTTTCATGTCTTATTATGAAGATGCTATGTTTTAAAAGAGTTATAAAAAAACCGTGCGATTAAAACCTAATAGATAAGGAGTACTTTTTGTATTTCAATTTTGTGTTTTGAGCTTTGAATTCATTTTGAGTTTTGTGTTGAGTGTCCATTTTGAGATGGTTGAAAATGTTTTCTTTTTGGTATTTTGAAAACATCCAAAACGCGTTTTGAAATTTTTGATTTGATTATTACTGAAAACACCAAAAATGACAAATTTATCATTTTGAGTTTTCTTTGTAAATTTTTAACTTGTTTTCAAAAACGTATTTTCGAAAATAGGAAAGAGAACGCGTTTTCATTATTTTGAAAAATCGAAAACAGAAAACGACTTGAAAATGATAAATAGAACATGCCCTAAGCTTTTCCATGTGTTCAGTCCTTAAACCGCCAATTCCCTGCACTTTGAACTTTGTTTCATAATAGTTTGGTAAAGAATTATAAAAATGAAAATCATTTGAATTATGTATGGGCTAAAGAATGAATGTTTTCTCATTAGTTGCATGGTTGGCATCAATTCGCCTTGTAAGGTGTATACTAAGGTTATTTTGCACTTCCAGTTCTAGTTTCGTGTTTGATTGCCATCATTAAATTTTAGACCTTAAACAAATTGTCAATGATGAGTCAAAGTAAAGTGATGACGACGTTGATCATCTTGCATTTACTCCTCTAGACACGACACGTTACTAACTTTGCATAGTCAATTAAAAGCCGTGACCACACTAAGGTGAGCTAACTAAATAATTATTGAGCAATCCTATTTAAGCACTATTGTGTAGATGATACTGAGTATCACATAATGTCACAAAAAATTGGTGTTCTTACATTACTGATACTAGATAGCATTATTCATAATTACTTCTTCAATCTAAATCGCAAATTGGAACTAACCTGCATCAATTATTTGAAATCCTCTAGAACATTAGAAGTTAAATCGACACCGACACAATACCTAGCAACCCATAGAAAAGGTTTCCTTCTAAAAGTGAGCTAATTACGTTTTTTTACGCTTTAAATCCGCAGATCTCGACGACAACATATAGAGATTGCATAGAGTAAAGTATATGCAACTTAGTATCAGTAACTACGATGTTCATCAAATCTAGTTCTTTTAGTACTTTCTCTATTTTTATATTTTTAGGGATACTCAACAGTTCCCCGTGAAATTGAAGCAGTGAATTAAGGTAATCGCATAATTCACAACACGGTTTAACAGCACATGCAAGCATTTAAGAGTCACAATTAAGTTACTTTTTTACATCTCTACCACCAATGTTCTGAAAAGCTTGCATAGGCTCGAAGATCGGGCAAAACTCTTCGTTTCGCACCTAGGCGCTTTTTTTTGGGTTCCTAAACGACTGAATTATTTCCTTCTATCTCTTTCGTATTCCCTAGGCACGCTTTATTGAATTTTTAATTTTTTTTTTAAAGTCTTTTATTTGACTTTAGTTTATTAATTATTTTTTTATTTTTTAAAAGACTTTTCAAACTTTAATTTCAAGTTTTAAAAGACTTTATATGTACAAAAGTTAAAAATGACTTTATTCGATAAAGAATTAAATAAGATTAAGTTAATGTGCTATCTACATACGTAATTACGATCTTGAGACTCGTTATGTTGTTAAAAACTTCAAAAGCATGTATAAAGTTCCTATAAATCTATTAAATAAGACTTATTTGGTTGAAAATTGAAATAATGAAAAATAATCTAGTTTTTGTATTTTGAAAACTTGAAAATTGTATAAATAACTAATTATAGGAATTATTAAGTAAATATAGCATTTAATAGTTTAGATGTTTGATATGTATAATTTTAATTATTAAATGACTTTTAAATGATTAAAGATTTAAAATAATATTAAAAATAAGAAAGCATTTTTTGTGCTTAGCGTCATTTAGGCTCGCTTAATCTCATAAAGCTTGAAGTTTTACTTCCACGCTTAACCACGTTTTCCGATTTTTAGAATACTGCCTACTACTTGTCAACAAAAATCTTGCAATTTTGCAATTGAAGAGAAGATGATCAAATCTTGTTCCTTCTCTAGTAACTTAAGTTTTTCAATGATGCAAATGAAACGATAAATATATACTCCCTCATTCCCAATCATATA